CAAGCCATCAAATCCGCGATATTCCACAGGGAGCCCAGCTTAAGTCATTTCGCAACTTTGACGGACGATATCACCCCAAAAAACGCATTTCATGGAATTTTCATTTCGATTTTCAAAATCAAAAAGGTTTGATGTACATTTTAAGCTATGATGTAACTGGCACCTCAGAGTCCCTTTAAGGCTTCAAATCCGATGCCACTATGCTTGTGAATTACAAGCCTCTTAATAATTTTCACGTTTTGGCTTCCTCTTTTGCCCATAAGCAGTCTCATATGATGAAGAAATAGAAAACATGAGTGAGTGCTGTTACGTGTCATACTTTCTCCTAAGGCTGCGTTCATAATGTATGGCAGGGGGGGGGGGGGGGGGGGGAAAGGTGAAATCTTTAAATGACCCCCCTTGAAGTCCCCCCAAAAATAAATATTCCCCGGGCAATCTCTTGTAGCTTCTTCTAAAAATTTTGCATCCCCCCCAATTCTCTTTAAAAAAATTTCAAACCCCCCCCCCTCTGCCATACATTATGAATGCAGCCTAACACTTCTCTTGTGTTCAGCCAATCCCTGTATGTTTCAATAATTGAATGCATGATTCATGCATGCTGTGTGCAGTTATAATTATTATAACTGTACACAGCATGCAGCCAGTTTTCTATCTCATATAGATTCATTAACATACCATTCCATTTGAAGTGGGAGAAAGTGGGATTTTTTCTGTGTTATTCGGAACATTTTGTTTTGTCTCTTGTGATGATGAAGGTAATGTCAGTCCACTACAAGCTGAGACTTGCACATTCTTGGAGGTTTTTCTCATCCTTTCATCCTGGATAGTGTCCCTCAGTGTTATGAGAGCATCGATGGAAGTTGTGGTAGGAAAGACCAAATGATCATCTTGCTACACATAAAGAGGCAAACAATGTAAAAAAATATATAAATATTAGAGCTGTTTTTGCATTTCTGGAGGATTTAAATTGAAAAACCTTGAATTCTGATATTTGACTTCCATGTGGAGTAAAGCAGTAGTAGATGTTGGGGGTTGTAAGGTGGCTAAACACTCCTTTCAAAGTCCAAGATCTGCTACTGTAAAACCTAAAGTGGATGGGATGTCTACTTAGCATATTTTAGTTACACAGAGATCAAAGACAACTAACTTCAAACCATTAACATATTGACCAAAACGTGTGGAACATGGGAGAGAAATGCCATTGCTTTGATTCAATAGTGATCGAAGATTCAACCATTCAAACAATTAAAGTATTGACCAAAACTTTTAGAATATAGGAAACAAGTGCTATTGCTTTGATTTAATAGCATAGCCAATCAGATGGCATGACTAACATATATCTGGTATTTATTTACCTCTTCAAAGCCCATAGCAAATAAGCACTCCACCCCTCCCATGACAGGCAGTAGTTTTTCTTGAAATATCTTGTTGCCAATCCGGATTGACCTGTATTTCTGGTTTTCTGGGTATTTGATGATATTATTTGCAAACTTGAGGATAATTTGAGAAATATCCATGAAGACATTATCCTCATTAGCTTGTAGTTCTTTGAAGCAACTCCAGCTACGACCAGTACTCACTCTTTTAGGGTCAGGAATCTGAAAAATGGTATGTATACAGTTAACTAACAAATGTGTAGTTAGCCGTCACTGCATGCCTAAATGGGTGGCAGGGGTGGTGTATTGGTTTACTACTCCCTTCCCAATACTGTAGTCTGGGTTTGAGCCTTAGCTTGAACTAGATCATATACACCTACTTCAAAAAACGATAGATCATTCCAACATAGAAATAATTTCGACTTGAATACATGTACAAAGAACATTGAATCAGTCTCACAATATAGTCCATGTTCTTGACGAAAATAAGAAGCAGAAACACAAGTCATTCCTTGGAACTTGAAATGACCTATATCTCCTATCGCTTTTTGTATATAACCTATTGCCTACCACCGTTTGGCAATGACAACGTTTTTTGAAATAGACATATGTGTGAGTTGATTTTGTTCCATTTGTCATTCTCTGCTCTGCTACGAGGGTTTTGTCTCCCTCTGGGTTCACCTGTAATATTTATTTGTAGTAGTTAAGTATAGTATAATATATTTCTTCATGTATTTCATAAGTGCTATGTGGTCCACATATTCTCATCTTTGCATCGTAATTACTGCTACCTAACATCTATTTCACCCCGGCCTGCTCTCAGTCTGACCTCTAGCTCAGCTGGTAGAGCATCATTAGTACAATTCCGAAGGTCGTGGGTTCAATTCCCAGCGAGGTCAGAAATTAATTTTTCCGAATTTAATTCCAAGGGCTATCGCCCGGAATAACCTCGTTCCCAAGCACTATAACTTATCTATATTTCTATATCTTCATATAATATAATATAGTATACAGCATAGTTTATGTCATGCTTACAAAGTTATTATCTTCACTAGTTGACAATTCTTGTATCTTTTTCTCCAAGGTCAATGGGTCACTTCCTTTCAACTCTGTGATTTTATTTTTGTTTTTATAGAAATGAAAAGTAGGCATTGCACGAATACCACGTGATTCAGCAGTAAACTAAAAGAATAACACAAAAGGTATTCAGTATTTAGTACATAAACAAATCAGTCAAGAGGACATAAACATTTATTATTATTGAGATATTGGAATAATATTCTTTTACCAGTAAATTTGTCACTAATCTCCATTAGAGGGTCTAGGGGTGTGCAGAAAGGAGCACAAAACATTATTTTAACTGGCCAAACAGCTAGTTAATAATCTAGGGGTGTAGATAGATCCACCACTTATCTTTTCTCGTATAGCTATATAGAATGGTTTGTAATGATTAAAAAAATACTGAGATTTTGATAAAATTGGGCTTTCAATCTTGCATGTACAGCATGTACTACTGTTTTGGAACTGTTATCTTTTACCAGATAAACAAATAACTAAGTACAGCTGTAGAACATTTTTCATGACTGTGAAAAGCTCAGTGCCATATGCATGCCTTGCCACAACCTGCAGGATGTTTTTGATAATTTTTGATTGGCTGATTTTTTCTTGCACAATGTGTGATTGGTCTGGCATAGGTGTGACCTTGGCATGACCATTTCTGCACAATGTTTTGAAAGGAATTTCTTGTATAAATGTGATTGGTCTGGCTTATGCTTGCCATGTCACTACCATGGTCATGCTGCAAATGTGGGACAGTGACATGAAAACTGCTTTTTGCTTTTATCATTTTCACTAAACTTACTGGGCACTGATCAACATCAACCTTGAGAAAGACAACAGACATGTACTTCATGCTGAGTTGCATAAAGACTGGAGCAATCCTTTGACAGGGACCACACCTGATAAAGAAACAAACCATAGATGCTACTGACACCAAAAGAGATATATTTGTATTAGCCAACTATCATTTTTTTGGAGTACAGGTACTGAATACCAAAGCATGCAGCATATATATTATGGTTGAGTCAATATCTTTAAAGACACTAAGCTAATTACCACCATATTACTGTACATGACCACAGTATACCAGGGCTTAAAATAATCACCAGTCATTCACCAGTCCTGATGACCAGCAAAATTAGTTTTAGCTCTGGCTTAGGTTACTGGTCAAAATGACTGGTAACGAAGATTTGACCAGACATACAAGTTCAATTATGCTGGACAGACATTGTCTGATGACCAGCTCATCTGATATTTTTAATTGCATTCCAATATTGTAATGCCTTGAGAAAAGCCTTTGAAACCCAGGGGGAGGGGGGGGGGTACTCCCATATATGGACTATTTGAGGATGATCAGCTGACAGGGTATGGTTTTTCAAGCTTCTTGTCATAAACAGGGTATGCAATTTCACTCAAGTTCCAAGTTCTTCCTGGGTTTCCTATCATATTCAGGGATTCTACTTTTGTATTGTCCGAAACTGGTTATTATGGTCGTAAAAAACGATACGCAAGATGACATGATAATTGAAACAGGAACTCAGTGCAATAAAATATATCTTTTATCATAAACAGGGTCTACAAATTGAGGTTTTTTATCATAAACAGGGTACCCCTTTCAGAATCCCAGCAGAACACCCCTACCCAAATTCTGGTGGAGTACCCCCCCCCCCCCCCCCCCCCCCCAATTGGGGGGGGGGCCCCCCCCCCCCCCCCCCCCCGGGGACTTGATCATGGATTTTAGACACAGGGAGCCCAATAGAATCAATAGAATAAAGTTCTTCGCATTATCCACAAAGATAACCATTTAAAACAAATTCTGATGATTCTGATTCTGATGGAGTGATTGCCCGATAAATAGGAAGAATTGGTTATCAGGATTGATGATAATAGTATTTTTTGACTGGAGGAACGAATATCTCGTCTGGATACTGGACTTAAGATTTTGCAGACTCATTGTGACAAGCTCAACAAGCGATCTATTTAAAATTCAGGAAGTACAAAAAATATTCCAAGATTGACCGTCGGAAAATCGTAAACCTGTTTCCTTACTCACCAAGAGGCTGTAAAATCTACCACCACAAGTCTCTTTCCTGCTCTATCCATCTCAATATCAAACAAAGAATCATCCTTCACAACGATAACGTTGCCATTACCAAAATTAGAAGCCATATTTTTTTCGTCTCGTCGAGATTGTATTTGTGTTTACGATCGCATCTGATATCCTTTGAAACCAGTGTCCCGCAAAATATGAAGCACCATATCTATATTTTACGTCTCATTCATCATTCGTTCGTAGTATATGAGAGATCTGTCAAGTTTTTCAATCGTTTTACCGGAGGGCTTTACGTGGCTCGATTGTTGTGGTTAAGATGGCGTGCGCCCGCATTGATCAGAAATTGAGGTCAGCGAATTCAACTAATTCCCACAGGTAGCCCAAATTTGTTTTTTGTTTTTTTTTGTTTTTTTTTTTTGTTTTTGTTTTTGTTTTTTTGTTTTTTTTGTTTTTACAGTACTTTATGGAAAAGAGAGCAAAGGAAAATAATGAGCAAGAGAGAAAAGGGGGAAAGGCGAAAATTTATTCAAAAAATTATTTAGATCAATGACAGATTTGAGTTCCTAATGATGCAAATTCATCAACTGTCAATCAAAAAATCACTCGTGATTAATTAGTAATTATCTAAGCAATGCTGCAGCAGATAATTACCCAAGTATTTTTTTACGGTACTAAAGTAACTCGGTCATTGTTGAGGTCAATTAGTGGGTTTTTTTCTTGAAGTACGTAAGCAGTTCCCTGGAGACCATCCCACCAATTAGCCCCGAGATCTCAATAGAATTATGCAGTAATGCTGCATTCTTCCGGCCTCTCTTTGTTGACTCTGCAGTTTAAGAATAAAATGCTTGAATAAACATGATCAAGAGCGTGAGATACGACAGAAGAAGTTTACATTTTATTCTCGAACTAGAAATAAGCATCACTCCAGTGATCACTTATCTTTGATTATCTTAGGGTACTTAGTAAGGAGGTGATAGAAGTTTCGTTAAGTACTTTTTGGTCACTTGAGACTTCCTTATCGGACGGATTGAGTCCATTCAAGACTGTACTGTAATCGTTGAGCTTGCAAGCTTCAAAGTTGACGACGCAGATGTAGTGAAAAAGATCGCGAGTTCACAGACAGTGGAGTTACAGGAAATACTGATTCTGAGCTGTAGTACTGTTGTCGTAAATCTTCTGCTAGTTAACTAAAAAATTCAGGATCAGTGAAATTCTTTCTGGAAGACCTGAATGTTTATTGTATACCTCATGACGGAGTAGCAGCTATCAGAGGTTGTTGTAAAATTGTTTCTTTGAACTTGGCGGAACCCACTCCAGCGAGGAAGACTACATCAAAACTGTTGGCCTGTCCTCAGAAGTGGGTCATTTCAACATGGATGCAGAAGAAGACCCCGAAGAAATACTTTGTTCCTTACGTAAGGAAATGGTAAGTAATCGTAAGATTTAAAATATTAATAAATATTGTTTTTGTTTTACCAATAATCCCTACAGGGGGTACATAAATATTAATATTACCAGAAAACAAAAACTACCAATAATAGTTAAAATGATAATGCTAAAAAATTAATAATGAATTAACCATGTAACGAATAGTTTGAATAGCAAGATAATTAGATTTTTCAAAAAGTGCTTGTGACTCACTTTGATTTCCAAAAAAGGTCAGACAGTATTCTAACTTGTTCCTAAAGATATCTTAAATCAAATATGTATTCTGTATATGCTGCAGTTTATATGATTTATCAATTAGGATTAGTTGTATAGCTGGCTCTCTAGTAAAGTAAGCAGATTAAAAATGACAGGGCTATACGGTTTACTAAGTAGAATTGAAAATACTTCATACTGATGCTTTTAAGCATCTAAGGTTCTAACTAATAACAGATATGTATATAACAAAATCATTCATATCTTTCATTTTATTGGGAGCATATATCTATTATCTGCATTCATCCATGGCAACAGCTTCAAAATGAATCATTAGTGGTTACTAGAGCTTGACCAATCGCAACCTAAGGTCATAATATCGCAGTATTGATACCCGTTATTTAAACTAAATGACAGTCTGATATTTTACGATAAAATTCTTCAACGAACGGGTATACTTTGTTTGTTCTCACGCCTACTGAAAACACGGACACGTGTATAGCTTTCGATATCCTGCTGCGCAACCACAAACGATTCATTTGAATTATTAGTTTTACAGAGACTTAAAAAAAACAGACGAAAATAATTGGTATCGTTCTGCGGCATTACGTGAACCTTTCTTTTCTTGTCGCAGTTTGCATCGTAAAAGAAGAGAATCGGAAAATCGAAAAATGTTTTCGTCGTATGGAGTTACATGAATCTCGTCGTGGTACATATAGTTTTTCTCTAAGGCTACTTGAGCATTAGAGACTGATATGACTATGATATTACAATGCTGTGGTGTAAGTACATACGGACTCTATTACCATGTAAACATGTTTTCCAGAAGTTATGGATCATCCCTTGCTAGGGGCAGCTTGTAACCCAACTTAAATTTCTGACTAAATAAGTGTCAATGCCAACATTCGCCCAACTTCCTCAACTCTTACAAAAAAGTTTAAGTACTCTCTATCAATTTCTCCATTACATTTTAGCTTCGGAATTTCAAATGGTATATCATGCCAACGCAAGATTTTTGTTTATGATATCGGTAGATTTCGTAAGTGAAAGATATCCGAGATAAGTGGAGCGCAAAGGTGCGCCCTTAGATGCGCCAACAAAATCTATCACGGAAGCTTGAGGCGCAAGATGATTGGCGTGTCATAGCAGTTGCTCTTGACTGGTAAGATAATTAGAGCAAGTTCGAGCTTTTCGCTATTCCAAACGTCCTAAATACTTTGCTGCGGGTTTAGAGGGAATCTCTGGTCGTATGTTAAAACTGATTGTCAGTCAATTGAAATTTTACATACTTCACAGTTCTGGGGTCATCTTGAGATAAAATAAACATGACTGTCGAAGACCAACCATTATTATGCTTAGATAGTGTGGCTTATCAGTAAGAACTTAGCAAGAGAGTTTAATCTTATTTGACAGAAGAACGATATCGATAGCCGAGTAATCTTGTATCATCACGAGTACAGGAGTGGTTATGTAGCTCGCTTTTCATTCACTGGAATCACTTGAAGTACTTTACGTACACCTATTATATAACTACAGTGCACGGTCACATTCTCTTAGGGCATGATGAAAAACGACTTAGGTTTTGACTTTTTATTTTCATGCATCTTTTTGACCTTATATAACCAACTGATATAAGATGAATAGTCATAATTAGTGTAGTTCTCCTCTAATAACTATGATGTAGTGCCGTTAAAGGGTCCAACAGTGGATTCTGGCTATTCCGTCTAACATCCAGCTTGGCGTTAAGTGCCTGGAATCTTACAGTGCCAGGCTTTGATCAAGTGACGGTGCCAAATTTACTAAGGGTACTGAATGGGACACCTAATAGAGAAAGGGACCTCGAAGGGGGAGCAACTCAGTGACTATACCCGCTCCCCCCACTTCCTGCTAATATCTCCTAAATTTTAAGTCCCCCATCCGTTTTACCCTTTTGCCTTCCTGCCTCTTATTCTTTCAATCGTACCCACAGCCCCTACATCAACCACGCTATTTAAAATGCTCCACTGTCCTTGACGCGACGGAACCCTTTCGCAGAGTATGTCCGCAGTACACTTGTATAACAGGCTAGGAGCTGTAAAGCACAATTATTAGATGTGTAGCTGAGGATATGTTACTCTTGCTTTTTATTTCCTCTACAGTTCCCAGCTGAGTATATATAACATATTACATATTACAATAACTTTTTAATTTAGTACATGAGTGTGCCACTACCCTTTGATATAAAATAGCTGGCCAATCACTGGCGCGCGCAGCGTGGATCGGTTACATGACGTGCATCTGGAAATGTGAGGGACTTCTTCAACGATACGACGGCCATCTTGCCACAGGGAGCAAATCGAAACAAAGATGAAAAATATATAAAGTTTCGAGTGTTTGCCTTTCTTTTATGGCTTTTATCGTTTCTTTTATCGTTTAGCCATAAAAGAAAGGCTCCCCGTCATCTTTGTTCTGCTTTGCCCCTGGCAAGATGACACAGCCGTATCGTCGAAGTTCAGGTCCATTGCTGTCCATTGTCCATTAAGGCTAATGGACAGCAGTGATAGAATGATCTTTTGCCGGATACGATAGCCAAGCTGCGTTCGGCAAAGCTGGTTACCTGACTCTTTAAAACTATTGTTATACCTTTGCCCTAGTTAGTTCAAGCCAATATTTATTATAATGACTCAATCATGTTCTTTTTCAGACTTTTATTAAAGCGGAGGAAACTTTGTTAAAGAAGCAAATCCTGTCTTTAAACGAACAGTTCGAAGAGTTGATGATTTCAGTGGCCGAACTCTACCCTGACATACTAAACGAGGACTTTGTACAGACACCCGAAGCTCGTAAGCCCGAGTATGCTCTGCCAAATGATGCCCATGATATGTCTACAAGATACCAAGACACACTGCAAAGAACGCCAAGGAAAAGTCGATGGAACGAGTGGAGGGAGGGGAGGGTGAGACGAAGGTTTTCAGGGGGAGATATGGAGCTGAAAGAAGAACATTTCGTAAAGTCTGATGGCATTGCGGAAAGAGAAAAGACCAGACCTTCAAGTCTGAATGTGAATGAACTGAGTGAGAACAGTTTAAAGGGGAAACTCAGAAATTCAAAACGATCAAATACAGACATCCCGAATAGTGCGGCCGCAACCCCCAGTGGGGATGCGACAGGAGCTGTTGGTCTAGGATCAAATGATTACGGGTTAAAACTAATGTCACTAGACAGTGAAAGACGACGAAGAATACGACAAAGACTAAAAGAGTCACGGAAGAAACTAGACGTGGTTCATCTTGGATTATTCTGATATCCAGTATTTTTTTCTGGTGATAACTGCTTATTCTGGTGCTTATAGGACTAATACTTAGACAGATTTGCTGTTACTTTGAACTTAAAGATAGCAGCGAAAGATGCGCAGTTAAATCACACGACTAAAATTGAGCTGGTTAAAATATGGAAGATGAAAGATGTTCTAAGACGATAAAACCAGGGTCTGGTTGTTCAAAGAGTGGATAGCGCTATCAGACGGATAAATCTCATCCAGTGGATAAATTTATCGGATAACAGCATTGACTTATCCACTGGATAAGGATCTATCCGTCGGATAGCACTATCCACTATTCGTACAACCCAGAATTTTAGAGAGATAGGGATTGTAAAAAAAAAGCAGAAAATCAGAGAATCGACTCCATAATGTTGGCCTTAAAACTCCAGGAAGTTTAACTGTTGTACTCGGAATCTCAGTAACTTTATAGGCTTAGCATAATGAGTGTTTCGACGCATTTGTTATTTTCTTTTGCCCTCCAAAAATACTGACAATACCGGCCATAAACTAAATTCTGCTTGATGAAACAAAAGCGCTTGGCAATTAGTTCTAAGAGAAGGAAACGACAAAAGACATAGTAAAAATGCGTGGTATGGATGAGAGGCAGCAATAAAGACAATTGACTCAAAAAACCTCGATCTTTTGAACACTATTCATATTTACGAAGATATAAAATTTCGAACTACGCCTTTACTACTAAAAACGAAAACCTAATGAAGGGCCTCATTCGAATTTTCATATATTCATATGTACGACTGACGGATCGGACATTTATACACTAGTCATTTAATTGGATTTCCTGCAGTGATAAATGCAAGTTGGAAAATAAAGTTCAAGCCTTGTGAAACCCTTGCGCACGTATTAAATGTTCTATAAAGGGATGTGTAGCTTGAGGAGCCGTTGCGCGCAACCTGAAAGTAGGCAAATGCAATAATCAACAAAGCGTGCAAGAAATTCAAAGTCTGTATTCTATAAATACCCATTTTCATAATCATACTTGACCAAGACAGCTGGCCTTTTCACTCAACCAATCAAATGTCCAACGGTCTGAGCTAGTAAATTTTGATCGACGGAAGCCAACGGTCACCCCAGCGTAATTATGAAAATGGGTGTAATTGTCGAAAGGATGAATTATTTTTAAATCAAAATGTGGCCTGGCATGAGATAAGTCAATATACGGCAGAAAAGGAGTTTGGGCTGCCTGTGTATCTTAGATCCCGCTGACCATGATGATAGATCGCCGGCTCAGTTGGTCAAAGCGCGGGAAGAGATACGCCAAGATGGAAGGTAAGAAAATGCGATGTAGACTATTTCCCATTGTATTTATTGTTGCTGAGTTTTTTTCCTTTACTAGTCGAAATAAGAGCAGCTGAAGACTTCCTGTCTAGTTTTAAGACCAGTGCTAATTCTGCCATTAACCTGAAACTAGGTAAGCAAAACGACATCACGTTCGGTTTGATAATTGTATGGGTTATTGTAAAATACTCCTTTTCACAAAGATTGAATTTTTTATCCACACTTGTAATAGGTCAATTCAATGTCCAACTGTACGAAAATTTGTACTTGAATATGATCAGAACTCAGTGTTGAGGCTATAAATTAGACGCAGGCTAGTGTAACCATGTGACTCAAAATCCCTTGAGATATGAATAACAATGAAACAGCCGCCATGTTGGTTGATCTAACAAGAGGAGCTAATTTGAGGAATGCTTTGTTATCATCAACCAAGATGGGGGTTATGACGTAACATGCATAAGCTATATAAAGTCCTATAAGCTTATTTATGATTTTAGAACATATTACGATTTATTTCAAAAATATTCTATTCTGCACCTATTTATTGGTTGATTATTACAGTGTAGGTGTCTTTAGTGTTCTACGTATCATCTTTTTTTATATTCACCCAGAACATAGTTCCCACGGGAGTATTCACAAAGGCCATGGCCCACCATGTTGGAAGATATGACTAAAAAACACAGGGATTTTTTTGTCAAATTCTTCCAACATGTTGGCTGTGACATYATGTGCAAACAAAGAATAGCAAATAATTAAAGATGCATGCAAATGAGATGCAAATAAAATGAGACAACAAACATTGTATCAACCCAATTAGCCTCACTTGTATGATTCTTAAAACAAAAGAATATCTCATTGAGGCCTCAACTGTTAACACCAGAGGGTGCACTTACTACTTTGAACCCCATTTTAAAAAACCCTGGATTTACCCATGTTTCTTGATGTGCTATGTTCTTGAGAGTGTCAATTTTAAATAGACAATTTTCATGACTACAACTACCAGAAGGCTTTGCAATTTTGTATCACCTTATGCAAATATTAAGAAAACTGGCACTAATTAATTAACAAAAGAAAGCACAAAAAGGATTCTGGTAATTGAAGTATGTGTTGCTTTGAAAAAATCTATGAAAAACCTATGAATTAATGTGAATTTAGTTTTTTAACTATATATTTATAAAGTTCAGTGATAGAGTTACTAAACCCATGAAATAGATATTAGACTAATACACTTTTGTAGACCTTAATTCCATTGTTTTATCTTGTGTCTCTGTGACTATTACACGTTGACTAGTATTTTATTTCATGGCTTAAATAACTCTAACATGTTTTATATATGAATATATAGAAATATGGATAAGTTATATTGCTTGGGAACGAGGTTATTCCGGGCGAAAGCCCTTGGAATTAAATTCAGAAAAATTAATTTCCGACCTCGCTGGGAATCAAACCCACGACCTTCGGAATTGTACTACTGATGCTCTACCAGCTGAGCTAGAGGTCAGACTGAGAGCAGGCCAGGGTGAAATAGATGTTAGGTAGCGGTAATTATGATGCAAAGATGAGAATATGTGGACCGCATGGCACTAATGAAATACATGAAGATATAGAAATATAGATAAGTTATAGTGCTTGGGAACGAGGTTATTCCGGGCGAAAGCCCTTGGAATTAAATTTGGAAAAATTAATTTCCGACCTCGCTGGGAATTGAACCCACGGCTTTCGCCCGGAATAACCTCGTTCCCAAGCACTATAACTTATCTATATTTCTATATCTTCATGTATTTCATTAGTGCCATGCGGTCCACATATTCTCATCTTTGTTTTATATATGACGTTTTAATATACCAGTAATCTTCTTATCCGAATTTGTTTCTTAGTGACAACAGAAAATGATATTTTTGATAAAGGCAAAGAATTCCACCCAGAGTTCACACACCAGTTATTTGGCGATAAGTAAGTATATGTACCTCAGGAACAATACCGCTAGTTGATCTTTACGACAATTTGCTTACCATTAGGGTGCATCAATATATCCATGGAAAATTTTACAAATTAGTGCAAAGTTTTGTAGGTCTAGGGTCTACTAGGTCTACTGAACTTACTAATTTGTGCAATTTTTTGCATGGACTATATTAATAGCAGGCAGCTTTCAATAGAATAGATAGACAATAAAACAACAGGCCCAGTCATCTCATACCAATATATCAATAAATTATTCTATCAATGTCTAGGGGGTGTATTTCAATTTTGTGAGCTGGTAGAGTGCTTACCATATATCCAAGTTAACTAACAAACTTGTGCAAATTAGTGCAAAGTATTGTAGGTCTATGGTCTACTGAGGTCTACTGAACTTACTAATTTGTGAAAATGTGTGCAATTTCTTACAAAGCCTTTAATGGATATATGGTATGCACTCTATCATAGTTCTCACCAAGTTGCTTTGTTCCATTAGTGAATTGATTGGTGGTTGCGGCAAGTTGCACTATAAGAAAGCTTACTTTTCTATTCTTTACATTGTTGTTAAATTCAATTTTGATTCATTACTAGTGAGACTATCTTTGGATACAGTGGCTTGCAAGTTCAGGTATCGTTTAAATATTACATTTTTTCAAAGGATTGAAGCTTTTGATAGTGTATGGTAAAATGCCAGCTTTATTGTCTGTGCTTAAACTGATGCATAAGGATCTTTTGTAGGCTTATGAATGAGAGGTCTTATAGTTGTAGGGGGTTTATGTGCCATTTCCTTGATTATCATTTCTTTATTTAATGGTTGCAAATAAGAAGACACATGAATATGAATGCAACTCAAACAAAGAATCTCATTCTCAAGAGGATAACATGAATGGTCTGAAATGGGAAAATATTGCACCATGAAAAAATTAGGTCTAGTTGGCTCACTAGCTGCAGAATCTCACGATTTGAGAGCTTCTGATAAAATCCCTGATGTTCCATAAAGAATATAAATGCCAGAAATACATGTAGAACATAACCAGAAGAATACCTTGACATTATTATTATTGTTCTTGAATGCATAACTAGCTATGATTGAATTATCCACCTTATTATCTCATGAAGACAAGTCCTGCAACATAAATTTTTTATTATTTCAGCTTTACTATCATTCTGGAAGCCTTCTGACATACCTTGGAATGACATACGATTCAGATGTGAATGGCAAGCTCGAAGGAATAGAGGTGTGTATTGTTATGAGCACTTTTTTTTATTGAAATATATATTTATATATGAATGTACTTGTGAATATTACAAGAAAATGAAACTAGTATATGAATTTGTGCATCAGGTCACAGGGACAAAATTAGTGCTATTTTTATTGCATCATTGTATTTACTATCAATATCTCTTTTCAGGCTGAACCTGTATTGAGTACAATTGCTGAACAACTTCCACCAGGTATTGTATGAAGCATAGTTTATGTACTAGCTATCTATCCATTCTAAATGTATCCATCCATGGTTATTTGATTAACATTGATAATGTTTTCAATCACAGTCAATCAAACTTATCAATAATGCTTTTTACAAATATGCTTCACAATCACTTTTTACAGACTGTGAAACAGGGTCTATAATATTATTGCATTGGGTTTGGTGTTGGACCAAACAGCCCCAACATGATCTGGATAGGTATTTTTCTGCTAATGTTTCTGCAAAGTGTAATAATAAAACATGCTCCACTTTTGCATATGTGCAAGGTGTTGCTTTTGACCCAATCTGATTTGCTCCAACAAACCCAACTACCCAACAACAAACCCAACAGCCCAATAATAATAATAATAATAATAATAATAATAATAAAGATTATTATATGGCAAGGTAATTTCACGCACTATGATTGGTCAATTTGTGGTCCATAACTTACAGTATGGACTGAAAAATGAAATGGTTCACTGATGAGTGTACGTACTTATGATCTTTTAAAACATTCAAATCTTCATTAAGAAATATATTTCTGGATGAAAATTGTTGGGAAACCTTCAATAAATAATTAAAGATAACTGAAAGTCACTGGCATTTAATGTAAAACTTATCAAACAAGCGACAACTCTTTCATACAAGCGACAACTCTATCGATCAAGGCTCTACATGACACTAGTTGAGTGATTTTGTACTACGGCTATAAAAAACTAGAAAAACTAACTATGCTAAAACTAAAACTATGTCAAACTACGAACTAAAGGGTGGTGAGTAGCGGCTAATTCAGTAAATGAAACAAAGTTAGGTTTACAAGTAGAATTAACGTAAATTTGTTATTTCAGTGAGCTTACAACGTCAAGTTTGAACTTATCTGAATTGATCAGGTGAAGAAGCCAGTAGTTTCTTTCGTTAACGATTTTAGTTTCCTAGGCTCATCCGCTCTTGAAGTATTTCCATATTTCAGTTATATTTCATCCACACTTGAATTTGAATGCATTTTTAGACAGGAGAGTTGGCAGTACCTTTTTTAATTGAGTCGAAAGTGTGTCGTCTTCATGACTTCAGCCATTGTGCATATGGCGGCCTGCTTCAAACAGTCAAAATGTTGAAAAAGTGACGAAAGACTATCCATGTTCAGTGAGCCGTGAACTTTCCAAAGCTTCTCATTTATTTCTGGAGAGAGTTTTTTTGAGTTTTTTTCCAATAAAACGTAGGAAAACAAACGGAAGGCTGTAGTATTTTTCATCGTGGTTGTGAATATCTTGAAGTTTGAAGTACGACAGTTTTCTTCTCATTCTCATGTTGAGTTCTTGAAGTCTTCTTTTGATGCCTTTTTTGCTTTGCATTTACACGTTTTGCAAAAGAAAGTCTCACTTTGTTAACTAGTATTTCAGAAAACTTTAAACTATATCTAAATTCTTTCAAAAGAGTAAACTAAAACTTCTCTTTTTGAGCGCCTCAAACACTACATGACTTTTGGCACGTACAGGAAGCCCTTCCAATGCAGTTCTCGTTTGACATGCGCTGTCAACTTTTATACTCTTTGTTGCTTCGCCTCTTTTTAATCTCAATGCCTTGCCATATAATAAATATCTTATTAACCTCGTTTGCTCTGTCCGGACTGTAAGTTATGGACTGAGTTTTTCCCACTTTTTTATGGCCTGCGCGCTACACGCTTGGGCCATAAGACAGTGGAAAAAACTCAGTCCATAACTTACGGTACGGACCTCGCACTCGGTTAATAAGAGCTATGTATTTTATATAGCGTCAATATCGCCTGGCTTCAACACACTTTACAAGATATTGATCATGAGAAAAGAAATTTGGATAAAACTGAAAAGGAGGTTTATATTTGAAGCTTAAATCAAATTTATTAAAAATATTAGTTTAAATTGATCATTAAACTTATCTAAAACTAAAAATATACTAAAAATATACTAAAAATATACATTTCATTCATTACATTTCATTTCATTTCAAATAGCCCAACCGCCCAACAAACCCAACATCCCAACAGCAAACCCAACAGCCCAACAACAAACCTAACAGCCCAACAACAAACCCAACAGCCCAACAACAAACCCAGCAAACCCAACAGCCCAACAACAAACCCAGCAAACCGAACTGCCCAACAACAAACCCAGCAAACCCAACAGCCCAACAACAAACCCAGCAAACCCAACTGCCCAACAACAAACCCAGCAAACCCAACAGCCCAACAACAAACCCAGCAAACCCAACTGCCCAACAACAAACCCAGCAAACCTAATCACCCAACAACAAACCCAACCACCTAACAACAACCCCAACCACACAACAACAAACCCAACAGCCCAACAAACCCATCCACCCAACAACAATCCCAATAACCCAACAAGCCCAACTGCCCAACAACAAACCCAGCAAACCCAACCACCCAACAACAAGCCCAACCGCCCAACAACAAACCCAGCAAACCCAACCGCCCAACAACCATCCCAATAGTCCAACAACAGCCCAACAATCCCAACCGCCCAACAACAAACCCAATAGTCCAACAACTGCCTAACAATCCCAACCGCCCAACAACAAACCCAATAGTCCAACAACAGCCCAACAAACCCAACAACCCAACAAGCCCAACCACCCAACAACCCAACAACAAATCCAACCGCCCAACAACAATCACAATAACCCAACAAGCCCAACTGCCCAACAACAAACCCAGCAAACCCAACCACCCAACAACAAACCCAGCAAACCCAACCACCCAACAACAAACCCAATAGTCCAACAACAGCCCAACAATCCCAACCGCCCAACAACAAACCCAATAGTCCAAAAACAGCCCAACAAGCCCAACCACCCAACAACAACCCCAACAAACCCAACAACAAACCCAACAGCCCAACAAGCCCAACCGCCCAACAACAGCCCAACAAGCCCAACTGCCCAACAACAAACCCAACAGCCCAATAACAGCCCAACAACAGCCCAACAAGCCCAACCGCCCAACAACAAACCCAATAGCCCAACAAGCCCAACCGCCCAACAACAATCCCAGCAAACCCAACCGCCCAACCACCCAACAACAAACCCAACAGCCCAACAAACCCAACAGCCCAACAACAAACCCAGCAAACCTAATCACCCAACAACAAACCCAGCAAACCCAACTGCCCAACAACAAACCCAACAGCCCAACAAACCCAGCAAACCTAACTGCCCAACAACAAACCCAACAGCCCAACAACAAACCCAACAGCTCAACAACAAACCCAACAGCCCAACAACAAGCCCAACCACCCAACAACAAACCCAACAGCCCAACAACAAACCCAACAGCCCAACAACAAACCCAACAGCCCAACAAGCCCAACCGCCCAACAACAACCCCAACAAACCCAACGGCACAACAACAAACCCAGCAAACCTAACTGCCCAACAACAAACCCAACAGCCCAACAACAAACCCAACCGCCCAACAACAAACCCAACAGCCCAACAACAAGTCCAACCACCCAACAACAAGTCCAACCACCCAACAACAAACCCAACAGCCCAACAACAAACCCAATCACCCAACAACAAGCCCAACAGCCCAACAATGCAATGGCCCAACAGGCCAAACAACTCAATAGACTCAACAGTCCAACAACCCGACAGGCTTTCAATATTCTGCTTCTTTCCTTTTCAATTCTTTGCATCCTGATCTAGAGCAAACTTTCTCGACCTCTCGTCATACCAATGTCTTTGTTGTTCCTCTTTCTCTAAGACGTCAGGTATGCTCTCTTTTCCTCATGGAAGACCTGCTCTGCGCACACTGCTCTAATCTCATAAAATGTAAATATGTTACTAGGTAGTTATCATTTTAACAAATCGCTCATATATTTCCATTGTCTGGCCCATATATATCATAGCTGACAGCCAATCAAATTGTGAGAATACACTCTATTATTGTAAAAATGCTAATTTATATTATGTACATTTTCCTTCTAGTTTTATTTTTTGTATAGTGTTAAAAGGTATTGGGTTATTGGGCTATTGCATTGGGCTATTAGGCTGTTGCATTGGGCTATTGGGCTGTTCTATTAGGCTATTCTTGGTTTTCACCTACGTCATCGTGAATTTCAAAAGCGTAAATTCACATTATAATGAAATAAATTGGGCTATTGCATTGGGCTATTGGGCTATTGCATTGGGCTATTGGGCTATTGCATTGGGCTATTGGGCTGTTACATTGGGCTATTGCATTGGGCTATTGGGCTATTGCATTGGGTTATTGGGCTATTGGGCTGTTGCATTGGGCTGTTGCATTGGGCTATTGGGCTATTGCATTGGGCTATTGGGCTGTTGCATTGGGCTATTGGGCTGTTGCATTGGGCTATTGCGCTATTGCATTGGGCTATTGGGCTGTTGCATTGGGCTATTGCATTGGGCTATTGGGCTATTGCATTGGGCTATTGGGCTGTTGCATTGGGCTATTGGGCTGTTGCATTGGGCTGTTCGGTTTCTATTTCAAATACCTGAAATAATTGAACTGAAAAAAACCTCATGCATTAATGCAAATATGGTAGTTTCAAAGGATCCTTAATAGTTTGTACCCCAGGGTCTAAAGGAAAAGTGCATGGGGTGTGGGGGAGTAAATTTAATCGGGTCATATGTCTCATGGTAAAAGCAGTACCAACATGTGCCTGCGCATGTGTAGAAGCGGAGCATGTTTCATAGTTACACTGAGCAGAAGTACTAGCAGAAAAATACCAATGCAGACCACATTGGGTCTGTTGGGTCCAACACCAGATCCAGCACAATAAGCCTAAACTAAGCCTCGCGTAATAATAATAATAATAATAACTTTATTAATGTCTGTAATTTTTCTAGCCAGGCACAAGTGCACTACTAATCAGGGAGACAAAATATAATATAATAATGAGTGCATGTGAAACACCCTGAAATTTGATCAATTTGCTGATGTAGACTATAATTTGGCTTCCAACAGGTTTTTGTACGAACTTGGATGACTTCATTGCCAAGCTACCTTCAGAGGGGAAGTTTCGACCAATGGGAGAACTTCTCTATTCATACCGTCATAATGAAAAGGATTATGAAGTCTACTATGTAGGTGCAAGTGTAATGGAACACTTAAAACAACTCCTGGGTTGTTCTAAGTTAGGGCAGGGCTGGCCAGTATTGTTAGGTGATCCCTAGTTGCCAAATGACATACAGTCAATTCAAAAAACGTTGTCGTCGACCGGCTCAAGCCTACGCTACTTGACCAAAAGGAATATGGGTAAAAATCACTGAAGCGGTTAAATATTCGTTCTGAATAAATTGTTCCCGCTAGTAATAAAGATAATAATGGCGAGAAACAATCCATCAAATACATGTCTTTGGGTTTAGGGAAAGAAAAACAAAGTAGTTATGATTCAGTTCACAATTTTGAAAATATGAAAGTAGTTATGATTATACAAAGTAGTTATGATTCAGTTCACAATTTTGAAAAAAAGTCTCCTTCAACACTTCCCGCTCGCCTACTACGAAGGTTCGTGCTGTAAACAAGGCATAACTAGTCGGATAAAATTATTGAGTCAACTTGGCTTCAATGATTGCTTCCCAGAGTTCCTTTCAGTCCAGTCGCGTAGGCTTGGTCGACGACGTTTTTTGAATTGACTGTATATTGCATTACTTAGTTCTTGAATATATGACGACACATGTATGATACGCTATTCTTAGTAAAATGCATACAGAACCTTACAAGCATGGTCTTAATTTTAACCTTGCCTAAATTGTATTAAAGCTTCATGATTCTTTTTTTCCAGGCTGATATCAAAGTTCCAAAATTCAAAGAATATCACAGTAGATTGCAGACATTTCTCCTCTGGTACATAGATGCTGCATCTTTCATTGGTTTGTATAACTCACTTATTTGAAAATGCATAATCATAGAGATGTATGAAATGAATATAATTTAGAAGCCAGGAGGTTCGGATAAGGAAAAAAACTGTGGCTGAGGTCTTGATATGGACCAAGGTCTGCTTTCAAGACCAAGGGCACAGCTGTTGTTCCCTATTCGGACTGACTTTAAGAGAGTAAATGACTAACTTGTTTAGCAATCCCTTATCCCATGCATACATGTGAATGATGTCAAGATACTGGACTACCTGCAGATACTGAGAATATACTGCCCTTAAACTTATGAAAGCTTTATTGTGTTTCACAGAAACTGATGATGAAAGATGGAACTTTTATTTATTGTAAGTTGAACTTAAATGCATTTAGGAAAACCATGTGTTTCATAGCTTATTGTTTTTGTTTTTTTTTTGTAATCATTGATACAATTCACGGACTGGTGTATTTCAAAATTGATGGATAGACAGGATGGGATGGGTAGGGTGGATGGATGGATGGAAGAATGAGAGGTTGGATAGGAAGGTTTACAGTGGGATGGTAGGTAGACATAAGGTTGGTTTATTACTGCGATATTACAGTATTGTACTAGAGTAATTACTAGATTGATAGAATATCTTTCGTCCATTAAAGTCTTTTTGTTTTGTTATAACTGTGTAGGTTTGAGAAAAAGAAAGTATCTGGTGAGACTGAGTACAGCATTGTTGGCTATATGACAGTGTATCACTACTATGCATATCCAGATAAATTGAGGCCCAGAATAAGGTACATGATATACTGTAGCAGTAGCTGAGTTGTCACTAACTTGTTTAGGAGCTTACATAGCTCAGTTGGTTTGTATGCGGCCTTCAGATCTAGAATGATGATTCTCAGATCCTCCATGTCAGTTCCAATTCTCTCTGTTCTGTGTAGCTTTGGCTTTACATGTAAATACCCATAATAAAGAGCATTGATAGTCTGAGGGGGTGAAGAGAGCACCTTCCAGTGCTTCATTACAACCTCTCCACATTATTGAAGTAAAATAAATTCCCTTTTTTTACCTCTTACCTTTTATTGGTTGCCAATAAATCTTCAAATTTGGTTGCCAGGCTAAAATCTTATCTTTTTACCCTCAGCTTTTGATATATTTTTTTAATGAAGAAAGAGCAACCAAAATCAAATGTTTGACACCAAATATCTGGACTTACCTGAAACCTGATTGGAAAAAGATTTTTTCACTGATTTACTGCAATTTTCATAAGCATGCGAACTCTGTGGCTCAGAGTTGCACACTGAAATTTGGTTTTTCGCTGCTGCCAGTCAAAAATATGAAAGGTACCGACTGATTAGGTTTGATTGACGGCAGTGAAAAACCAAATTTCAGCATGCAGCTACTGAGTTTGCATGTTTGTGAAAATTGCAGTAAGTTTGTAGTCTCTAGTGTAAGTTTGAATGATGAATGGTTCAATACAAATCTGGTGCATAATTGCCTCATAATACGTGTCAAAGTGCTTCAATATCTGTAATATCTACTACTGCAGTTTATAGTAGAAAAAGTGGTACAGAGTAACTTCATCTTGTACATCTTCAACCAGCTGTAATCAAAAACATATATGACCTTCATAGGATCCCATATTCTTGCATTGTTGCATAATATTCACTAGTTGTTAATAATTATTTGTTATTTTTTATCTTCAGTCAAATGCTTGTTTTGCCTCCTTTTCAAAAACAAGGCCATGGAGGTAAAAGAAATAGCTAATACCCTTCATTCTCTTCTTAACTTGACGATTTTTATTATTTCTTTTTGTTATGCATATACAAGATGACCACAGCATTGCTCCTCTTATATCACTCACTAGATTGTTTACAAATTTGTGCATATCAATTGAAATATTTCAGCCAAACTATTAAATACTGTTGAAGAACATTACATAAAGGATCCAAGGGTTCTTGATATCACTGGTGAGTAAAATAATAGATCAAAAATGAGTGTGAGTGTATGATCAGGGCATCCAAACACCAAGAAGCAGATAAAAGCACGAGGCACGAGGTCATTTCTTCCTTCATTTCT